TGTGATTATTTCGATTACGTCCTTCCTTTTTTGTACATCACGTGATTATAAATTGTCCAATAATCTTTAAATATTTTAATGACAAATGACCAAATGACAAAGGACGCAAATGACAGTCAAATGATACCCAATCATTTGGCATTTGTCATTTCGCGAATAATTCAAATGCCATATGCCAAATGATGGGGTGTCATTTGACCAAATGACTCCTAATCTGAAAAATGGTCAAATGACCAGGTCATTTCCGAACACTGCCATGAAGTGTTTTTTACGTTGAATGATGTTCATGAAGCGAATCCCTTTTGGGATTTATATCTTTGATCTGTGCAATAAATACTTCCAGAGAAAGGAGCACATTTTTTATCCATGTAATGTTTTAATTGTTTGGAGAACATAATTATAGTTTAAACTCAGGATCAATAAGTAGTAAGTTGAATTAACAATGAAGATCATGTTATTGCGAAAAAATACACATGTAAGTATTTTACTCTAACATTTATTTAATTATATTGTGACAAAACTCGTACACCTTTCGAATATTAGGTTTAAGTCGACATTAGAACGGAGTTCCCTAAAGAAATTGATTGTAACGAAGCAATTATGTGGTATACGATGTAGCTATTATTTATTATATTCTGAAGGGACATCAGCAATAGCAGACAATAATAATTACAGAGGGACTATTTTTATCAGCTAATGAATGCAGTGTATACTGTGCTTAATTGCTAAATAATATCGTACATTCTCTTCGAAGGTATGTCATTAACTTTGCATCTATATTTACAATCACGTAATAGCATTTCAACTTGTAATTGTTTCTGTTAATAGGTCCAATATTAATGATGTTATGTATGAAGATATCTGTCCGCAAATGCCACACAAGTATTTTTTATTACTAGTAGCAGTATTTATTGTTCTTATCCTGTGTTGTAATCCAGAGAAAGGCTGATGCTAACATTATATACAAAGTTATTGCATGTCATTCCTTTCTTGAACTGTTTTCTTGCTTATTTTATATTGTATGTACGTTGAAGTAAGAATTAAAATATGACGGTATCGTATTCTTATTATTATAACTAGTGATATTTAGTATAACGATTAAACTTGTTTCACATATGAGCGAAATTATTGTTATTATATTAGTAAGTCACGAGATACAATAGGTTGTGGCCCAGTTACCTGAATCATATTATCTTATCTCTGATAATGACTATAGGTGAAAATGAAAAATAGACTAACATTAAAACAATTTCCCATCTCAAATGATGATTTCGCTCGGATTGCAGCTATGTAACATTCCAAGCATATTTTTTCATCTGGTGTTATGATTGCCAGTATGCATAATTTATGTAACCATCAGTTAGTAGTTTTTTTAATGACGAAAAAAAATAAAATTAAACAAAAAAAAATCCTTAGTATGAAATCAAGCTGCGCAGCGTGTCCTTTGGACTGATTTCTTCTCGTATGTTTGATGTTTCTTGTCATAGAAGTTTGTCCTTCATAATTTTCCTCGTTCCTCGAAAAATCATAAAGATTTTTTTTGTATACATTTCCTAATAATCTTCTACAGTAAAGACCACAGTAATAACATGAGAGCCTTACTGCTCAACCACGCAATAGTCTTAGGAAATGCCTAGAGGGTATACTTCGTAATGTGTTTCTAGAGGAGGTTCTAGGAACCTAGGTTCATAGTCTCAAAGATGGGGTTTACCACATTGGACTTGAGGAACTCAAGGCAGTTTAACTGGTCGAGGTAGATGGGTATATTTCGCCTAGTTATTACTGTAAAGATCGGACAATTTCAAGATCATTGGATATCGGGACTAGTTGGTAAAATTTTAGTAGTTATTTTAGTTATACATTTCGCATATATCGTTTTCGTTTTACATTTCGCATATATCGTTTTCGTTATACATTTCATTATAATATTTTCGTCATACAATTCGTTGTCCATAGTTTAGTCAATTCTATAACTGTTATACCGGTCACTTACAGTTTAGTATTGGCAAAGTTACGGTCAGCTTCTTGGCAAAGGCGCCTTGTTAAAAAGCTTATATTTATGTTAAAATAAACGAATTTTGTGATAGTTTATACCTAGGTATTTTTGTGCCCTTTGGGTAGTCTCCGACTGATCGAAATAAATATCAATTTTTTTTTGACTATAAATATTCGGATTATCATTACATGTTTTATTGTTTTATCTATGTAGATTTCACGGGAAGTTTCACAATACTGAAAAAATAATTTGTACTACATGTGTTATACAGTATACCCTACTATTTTTGTTGTTACACTAATTTTTGTGAACGAATAAGATAGCTGACACTCCTGTTAATCACGACATTTATTGAATTTTTACGATATATAAATATTTGTCTTTATTTCGTGATGGTAAAAGAAGTCCAGATTTTATTTTTATTATATTAAAGAATGCAGTTATTCAAAAATCATCAAGTAACCTTTTCTTCATTTTAGAGTCTACTGAAAAACTAAAATAATACACTTACTATACCACATTCCGAAGGAATACCCTCTAGGCAATTATGAAGATATACATTTGGTCTTGATGAATACAATTATTATTTTTTTTGTTTTCTGGGATCTACTATTTGGAAAGTATAAGATATTAATCCTCTTTATGAGGAAGTCTGCTGACCATGCGTAAAAATTCTGGATTCCGGAGAAGACAAACTTGTATGGAGAGAATCTCTGAAGAATCCTTCCAGGTAAAAAATTGATGCACATATGTGTACGCAAAACTAACTTAAGAGATGTGATCAAAGTTTAATTACTATCTACAATGTGTTATTCACATGACAAACATGTGCAACACAGTTTTTTTCACATACTAGATGTTCCTCTTTATTTTTGGAAAAGACTTTCATGATTAATAAATTATAAGTATGGTATTGTTGGACTCGTTTCGCAAACTTCATTTATCATTATTGAATTCTTATTTTTTGTATTAACCGACTTTGATGGCGACTATAGTAGGACCAGAGACATCTAACACACCTTATTTTACACTAATTACCACTCTTGACCCTGATGACCTTGCAAAGGCTTCTACACTTCTCTTATCAGCAGTTGAGGCCCGACCAAAATTAACACAAGCGTTCCGCTTGGAAGTTAAATTTTTGCAAGAGAATGCTCAGTTTCAGATATGTCTCGATCCTGTGCTGTGGTATGATGTCTATCTTCGGGTCAATCCAAGACTTGATGAAGCAGTTAGGATAGCAAGAGAGTACGTTACTTCCATTCGGACCCAAATTTTACCTGAAGAAGATGGGCCGTTTGTAGTAGAATACGACGAAATTGAGAAAGATAAGGCATTCATCCCATGCAACAAAATATATCTCATAATAAATCCCAATGTGGTGAGTGTTTTGTTTCTGTTTCGTCCGAAGGGCAAGATGTCCATAGGCTACGGTTTTGTGGTTCTAGGGTTTATCCCTCTTACTCTTTATCCCATAATATTCATCCATCCAATGGTCTCCCTACAGAATTTGACCATCCAGAGTTTATATGCAAGGGGAACGTAACGACTCATGACGGCCGGAAAACAACTTGCGATTACTATTTTGCTTCAAAGCTTATCGTTCGAGAACTTTTGATAGACAATTATATCATATTGTTGTGACGAGAACCCATCAGAGAATTGCTGTTACTGCCCCGTCCTAATAGAAATAAAGCTAACTATAATCACTGACAACGAGGGGTTAGTACAACGAAGCGAGTTCTGGAGGGACCTGATAGAACAACGGCAACGCTTGAATTTTCATTCTATAGCAGTCAATTATGGCCGATGGGAGACAGGTCAATCTCGGGATAAGTATGCACAAGCATGCCATGCACATGTTCATTTACTGTTTGACAGAGAAGCTTGGGAAGGTGTGAAGGGAATAGTTACGAATAAAATCACGTTATCAAAGCTAAACACCAGAAACTATCCTGGACCAAACTACCTGCTTAAGGATTGCACAGAACTAGAACAACAACGTTTACAGTTAGCGGAACACCAATATATGCTAGCTAGTATAACCAAACTTTCCGTATCTGTCGAAAATAGTAATAAATCTCTCATTGATGCCATTTCTTCACTTACTGTTGCAATCAATTCACTTAATAGACTAGTTGAGGACAAGGATAAAAAAGAGTATTATAATCAGTAGTTATTTACGAAACGGTTTTCATGTATAATAAACGACATATTTTGACATTTGTTGTATAATATATTTTTTAGGAGAATCATTTAAGTACAAATAATCCCATTCTCATTTGAGACTTTTTTACATAATAGATTTTGCTCTTCAAGCCTATGAACAGAGCGTCTTATCGCTCTACCCTGCAAAGGTCTTAGGAAATGTGTTCCTAATCCTAAAGCCTCCTCTGGAACACATTACTTCGTACTATCCTCTAGGTAATTCCTAAGACCTGCGTGGTCTTTACTGTAGAAGATTATTAGGAAATGTATAAAAAAAAATCTTTATGATTTTTCGAGGAACGAGGAAAATTATGAAGGACTGATGTGCTGATAGCGGATTAATCATTAAAAATGCATTTATATTACACTTATTGTCTCCTTCAGCCACGAGTAAACCACTATTAATAAGAATATATTTTAACTCGATTTAAAGTTTCTACACGATACATCTTGTTTACAAAAATACTCAATTACAATGTAATTCTGTTTGTTCATTTACGCCTTCAGGTATTCTTTTCCACAGTTGATATCCGCATACTTTCTTTTCTGTTTCAATGAAGTAAGGCAATCGTGACCCATGGGTCACAGTCTTATAGTTTGACTTATATTCTCCTCCGCAGTTGATCCTACTACGCATCATATCATGAAGATCACTACCCTTGCCTAAATGCTAGTCTATAATTAGGATCGTTATCTTATTAGACACAGTAATCAACAAATAATTTGGCGTATAACCAGTTTTTCGTGAGAAAAGTTAAATTGAATAAAATGGATATAAATAAAAAGTTTATTAAACATGGGTCTTCCTATGTACGAAGAAATGGACACGATTACTCTCAACGGTATTGTTAAGGACCTAGGTATTGGTAGTCTTTTCAAGACTGTCATAAATAAGAATGAAAGCATTTACGATCTTAAAAAAGCAATCCTGTGGGAGTTAAGACCGATGTATCAAGATATTGCAGCTATTGGCATTCAAATATGGACTGTGCGAATCCCCAAAAATGATACGAGATTCGAGAGACTCAAGAATGATGATGAAACTGTTGAGAACTTACTTGGCGGAGAACATATACGATATGCTATATCAAAAATTAAGGAGCATTTTAGCAATCTAAACGAAGATGATATCCATATGGTTGTTCTAGGTATACAATATGTGATAACACCTCGAGTGCATCGAACATAATGTTTTCATTAACATGACAAATTCTACTTCAGGAAAAGAAAATTGGTGTGCTGCGTGTGACAAAGAATTTAAGAACAAAGTCGAATCATATGAGCATGAAGCTTCTGATTTTCACAAAATTGTAGATGGCCAGAGGATTAAACCAGTCCAGTATGATGAAAACGAACTCACCGAAATTGTTGATGATTATTTGATTTATTCATCCGGTGATAAGGATGGTAGTGATCAAGAGAAATATAATATGGAAGAGTTGTAATGTTTTTTTAACCTTTATGTAATCTGTTATAAAATTTTTAATAAAATAACCCATCGGGATTATCATTTTGACTATAATTAATAGAGTGGCTATGTAATAAAGAATATTGTTGGATGTTTAACATGTAACTGTGCCGTTGGATAGTCTACGACTGAACGAGTATCTATATATATTTTTAATAATAAAACTGTTTATAACTGTAAAATTCGTTTTTGCATTAAACAAAAAATGATACTGATGAATTTCTATGATAAGATTTCATTTTTATCCCTTTTATACATAGGACTGACGACATGTTTAGCAATTCACGAAAAATAGTCGGATATCAATATTATTACACTTTTTATTATGGTAGAACGACCTATGTGAAATAAATTCATAATACAAATATAAGTAGCGTGTGTAACTGTCTATCAATTATCACTATAAGGTTCCAATCACCACCATCAGGGCACCCAAATATGTTTATACGATAGGTCCATCTTTGGTCGTACAATATGGGATCATTTTTTCGTTAGTGTTCGACATATTACTAACAATGAATCTCACCCAACTATTCTACGTAACAAAAAATTCCAAGCGTGGGTTTCTTATTTCGGCTTTAGTTGGTTTTAGTCCAGTGACATAGACTCTGTATAGCGAAAGAAAAATGACTCCTCGAACATGAACTAAAAAGAATTAATAGTCCACTGCGAATATGGAATCGAAAATAGTTAAAAAAAATTTTATACCAAGATTTTCGATTATCATTACTACTTCATTACCCTATCTACAGTGGTGATCAGTCAGAGACTGCTCGAAGAGCAAAATTATTTGGAATAACGAATGTAAGAAAATGGTCATATTAGACAGTTTTTTATACGTTTTTTACTATTTTGCCTCTTTCTTTTTCCAAAAAATTATGCTCACCACTGTATATTTAACTAACAAATTCATGTTTTCATTGTTTAGGATATCATCTGGGTGGTTCTTTCGGAACCAAAGTTTTTGATGACAAATTGGTTCCATTAAGGTCAATATCTATATTTTATTCCAGTGTTGTGACAGTGTACATATTAGGCAATGAAAAATTTGGCAACCTTCGATAACAAATCAATCTAATAATATCGTCCTTTCTGTTCTTAGAAGGTGTTTCGTATACTAAGTTAATTGGTCATAGTGTTACCTTATTTAAAGATTACCAAAAAAGAAACAAAATCAGTCATGAATAATATAAAACAAATAATGGATGTTGAATAGTCAGTACAACTGTCGAAACTAAATATGGGTTATTATTTCATTACTTTGTGTAGAGAAACGTAGTCATGTATATGGCCATGTAACTTAATCTCTGAATTTAAGGGAAAGACATTAGCAGTATAACTTGTTCGTCAGGAACAAATATTTTGCGTGCATTTTATTTTTTTGAAACTTCTCTCAGAATCAGGACAAATAACAAATACGAGAACAATATCAAAGACTATTTCTAGTATAGAGTACAAACACAGAAATAAGAATAGTGCACTATTTGTCGACAACAGCAAGCTCTAACTGGTCGTTCTAATTAATGTACACACGTACGCTCTAATGATAAATAAAATATCTTATTTCGACAACGAGATAATTTCACAGGGCAATGTTTAGCAATAATTTTTATAGTCCCAAAGCTATTTCGTCTTACACTAATTTAACAGATACGTGGTAATCGTGGATATGTTATATTTAAGTTAAACTAGCCAAGACATACATTTCTGATAGAATCCCTACTAAAACAGAGTTCCTTCGTGATGAGATAATTTTCGTCTACCCTTCTTCCGATGTAGGCTACGCATTAGTACAACAAACTAATAAAGAAAATATGATTATAGGATCAAAAGATTTTAGATTTACATCCTACGATGCATTAATCATAAAGATATTTGTACACGTAATTTTTCCATACTCTATTTCGTTGGTCATGTGAATATTCTTTCTAGAAAAAAAATTATGACCTCGTTGCAACAATCGTGACACACTTTGAGAAAAGCCCACATGACACTCTAAATATTTGTTCAGCATGTCATGTGACCATTTGAATTTCATTGGGCGAGTATGTTACATAACAGAAATGATCAATTATAAGCATGGAATTGCGTCTTTAAATTTTTTTTATTTGGAATAAATGACAACGAAATATAATAGGAGCGGAAACATCTAAATCTTGCAGAGGTCTCTATATTTCTTTATCGGCAGTTGATGTTCAAACAAATAACATAGGCATTTGGTTTAGAAGTTGAATTTGACGAACTTAGTTTCACTTCGTGGGCACGGCCCAGACATGTCCTCTGTTGTATGAAGCCGTTGGATATCAAGAGAATATGTTACTACCACACAGATATGAATCTTACCTGAAGATGATGGACTATTTGTAACAGAATACGAATATATTGGAAAAGATAGATATTCATTCTATACAATGAAAATCTTTCTCATAATAAATCCCATTGTGGTAAGTGTTTTGTTTCCCAAGATACTGTGTCTCAATAGGTTACCATTTTGTGACTCTAAGATTACCCAATATTCTCTCTGCAGAATTTAGCCATCCCGATTTTATATGCAAGGGGGGATTACTATTTTTATTCGAGGCTTACTGTTTAAGAGCTTTCTATGGACAATTATACTATATAATTACGACGAGAACCTATTAGAGAATTTCTGGCGTTACATTGTATAATTACAATCACTTTGACAACGAGGGTTAGTATAACGAAATGATCTATTGGAACAATGATAGTTGAGAACAAGGATAAAAAGATAGCTTGAATAGCCTAATCAGTAGTTTGTTACGGAATGTTTTCTGCATAATAAATGACGTAATATTTATCTGCCTACGTTTGTTGTATAATATATTTTATAAATATCTTTTAAGCATAATATTTACGAAATAGATTTTGCTCTTCGAGCCTATGAATAGAGCATCTTGTCGCTCTACCCCGCAAAGGTCTTAGGAAATGTGTTCCTAATCCTAGAGCCTCCTCTGGAACACATTACTTCATACTATCCTCTAGGTAATTCCTAAGACCTGCGTGGTCTTTACTGTAGAAGATTATTAGGAAATGTATACAAAAAAATCTTTAGTCCATTAGGACCTTCAAAGAAGTGATTTTTCGAGGAACGAGGAAAATTATGAAGGACTGATGTGATAATACTGATCACGTATCAATCATTTTTATTTTAGTTATAGTGATTTCATTTCTGGTAACGTATTATGAACAACAATTATTCCTCATATGAGCGCAATGTATATAGGTGCTTATTTGACATGATTGTTACACAACGATAATGAAAAAATAATAAACCGTATGAGTGGTTGTTCTGGTTTTTATTTAAATGAATCCTTTTCAACTAAAGTGAGGAGAGAGAATATTTAATAGTACTAAGTCAATATCAGAATGGAAATTTTACTTCGTAGACTCTGCCTATGTTTTGATATTAGAACAAAATTTATAGAGTCCTGGTGTTAAGTTGTACCGCACTCATCGTTTCTTTGTTTTCGTTTTTTTTCATAGACTGACTCTTGAGAAAGCCTAGTTTTACTGAGTTCAGAAGCAGTTACGGCTTTATCAGATGAAGGATTCTATTTAGAGGATTCGTGGATTAATCGAATAAAAGAAGATTACTTAAAAAAGAGATATAAATTATCTACTTCGTACTCTTTGGATAGTTTCCATCAATTTATCATCACGAATTAGGACAGTTTTACTAATCTCATTTATCCACCTCGCTTTCATGATTAAATACCTGAAGGGCATTCCTTCATAATGTAAACGGACTATTTACATTGCTAAGATCCTCATCCTTAAACAGAGTAAACTATTCCATTAGTATTTAGTTCATGAGTTTCTACTTCGTACCTTTCAGGTAGTGCCATCTTGTTGTAAATTAAATTAGCTATAACACTCAAGATTTTTTTAACATGTGCAGGAGACTATTCCTTTCATCCACGATTATTAGGTTCCATATTTGGCTTTAGCCTTCCTTGGAAAGAAAATCTATATACAAAAAAATTCCTATGAGCAACTGGGATATTGTTTACGGGATTGACATAGTCCCGAAATTCGAGTACTTCTTGTGGACTGGAACAATCTTATACCGAAAGCAATGAGAATTTCAATAATACACATTTCACAGATCATCTCTAGTGGAAAAGTAAGTGAATAACAAATAATATTTCATTTTGTTCTTTTTTCTACAACTACACTAAATTTCTTCTCAGGTAGAACAAACAATCCACTCTAAAGGAATTACTCTTTCGAGACAAGAACTGGTAATTGGACGCAGTAATTATCACATGACACTCTACACCCCAGGAACCTAGGCCTTCTCTGTTAAAAGCGGGCAAGACGGTCAGTTTAGAGTATCACGTGGAATAGTAATACTTGGCGCAGTAATAATTACTAGATCAGCATCACGTGCTATCTGGTCAACCGTTGTTCGGCGTTAATCGAACACGTATAACATCATCAGTTTTTTATATTGTGCGCTTTCTATGTGGACATTGAAATATTATACTAATTTTTGGGGTATGGCTCGTCAATTAGTACAGCACATCGTAAGTAGTACGTAAGCTTTACTTTTTTTACGTTATTCCCCATGCAATAAAGACACGTTTTATTAAGCAAGTTCTAATACTGCATAACAACTGATTGCAAACGTCAATAGTGTATTCTTTGGAAATAGCACTTGCTTTAGCATTACATGAAAGATAAACACCTACTTCATGCAGTAAATGACATGGTGAAATCTTTCATTCGATTGTGTAAGAAAAACATTAATTGCTAAACTGTGTTATGAAGGATAAGACTCTATATTTTTACTCTATATTTATACTCTATTTGTGTCTCCAACTATAGAGAAAAAAATATAACCGAGGTCTTATCTCTTGTTATGAGTTAGTGGGTACAAAGGAAGAATTATCAGAAGTCAATCAACATTATGATTTCGCTTATATCATTGTTCATAAATAATCTCGGTATGTGTTG